TAGAAGAGTAAGAAAGAGACAGAGACAAAAAAAGGGTAACAAAACTGAGACAACAACAGAGAGACAAACAGGCTAAAAAGTGAGTGAGAGAGACAGAGACACTAAGACAGTTGATAAACTAGAGACAAGGATAGAGATATATTAAGACAAGGAACACAGTTTTAAAAAATCGTAGAGAAGGAAGGAAGAAAGAAAGAAGGAAGAAAAGGCTTTGCCAAACTGAAGTGGAGTTGATGAAGTACTAATGGAGGCATTAATAAATGATAAAGAGCCTGTTCTGCCTCTATGTGTGTTGGTGGGGGTTGTAGCAGGGGAAGAACTAATGTAAAGAGACAACTCTTCTACCTCACTTGTGAGGGTTCTCCCCTTCTGGAGGTGGTGGAACCCTAAGTTCCATTTCCCTTCCTTCTCTAGGTCCCGAGTGTGCTACTCTCCCCATGACCCAGGAAGCCGCCTCTCCCATCCTCTCACCCCCACCCTGGCTTTCTTCCCCCGTACCGGCCCTTGGGGGGTGGCAGCGGCTCCAAAGCTCCAAGGGACGGGGGAGGGGGCCACCTGGGTCTCCTACCTTGAGCGGGGAGAGGTGGGCGTGGCCCACGACCCCACTGACGGCCTCGAGATGGGACAAGTTCCTCTCCGACACGTGCACCAGCTCGGGGGCGTTTACCTGGTTGGGAAGGTGGGCCGGGCTGTGTTCCAGAGGGGGCGTGTCTTCATCTTGATAGCGGTATTTCTGGGAATGAAGGCGAGGGAAGAAGGTATCAGGGCAGCTCCAGGTACCAGGGTTTCCCTGGTCTTTCCTCATCCCACTCCCTGCTGCTTGACTCCCTTCCCCCAGATCCAATTCTTCCTAGACAGCCCAGGCATCTACAATCGTCCACACCCCAGAGCCTAGCATCCTCCCTCAAACATTTATCCACCTTTTCCTCTGTTCCCGACCCACACAATTCTCTCTGTCCCTCGAAATTTCCAGCTCCATTGTCCACTTCTCCGAACTATTTTTCTACCTCCCCAGGTACTTCTTTCCAAACTATTTGTTCTCCCACAGCATATACTTTGTCCCCTCCCCCATTTTGTCACCTTTCCCTTCATTTGACATTCCATTCCTCTCTGTACCAAGTCACCCCTTTATCGGTCCTCAGTCCCCCAAGTCCTCAGTGCCCCACCTTCAGTTTCCCATCTTCTCAGTTCCCAATTGCCCTATCTTTAATACTGCCATCCCTTAAATCCTGTTTCCCATTCCCTCAGTTCCCAGTTTTCCAGTCCTTCAACCCCTCATCCCCAGTTCCCATCCGCTCTATTCTTATTCCTCTATTTCCTCATTCCTTACAATTCTCTCATTTCTTTAGTTTTCAGGCTCCTCATCTCAGTATTCAATTTACTAACCTCTCAGTCTCCAGTTTCCCATTCTTTCAGTCTTCAGTCACTTTACTACGTGCCTAGTACACAACAAGCACTTAAATGTTTACTGAATTGAATTGTTTTTCATCTCCTCAGTAACTCTTTAATTCTCCAACTACTGCTTATGGCTGGTCCCTACTCCCTCAATCCTTATAGTCTCCTTGTCTCCAGTTCTCAGATTTTCCTCTTTCCAAGCCTCCCACTCCCAAATCCTGTTTTCAGTCTTCAGTCCTTCAACCTTTCAGGCATTCAACTCCCTTATTCTTTTTTTTTTAAGGCAATTGGGGTTAAGTGACTTGCCCAGGGTCACACAGCTAGTAAGTGTCAAGTGTTTGGTCTGAGGCCACATTTGAACTCAGCTCCTCCTGACTTCAGGGCTGGTGCTGTATTCAGTGCGCCACCTAGGTGCCCCCTCAACCCCCTTATTCTAAACTCAGTCCTCAATCCCCATCTTCTTGGTTCTCACAGTACCCCCCTTCCAACTCAGTCTTCAATCTTGCCCCTATGCTGAGTTCTCAGCCCCTATCCCCTAAATTGTGCTTTCTGTCATTCATGCTAAAGTCCCATCTTGCAGGCACTTAATGTTTATTGATTATTACCTAATCCCATCCTCCTTCTTTGCCCCTAATACTCCAGCTTCTCCAGCCCTTGTTCACTGATAACAAATCTCTCCTCTCTGCCTCCATCAAAGAGCTTCTCTATTATCAGATCACACTAACACTTCCTTGCCCACTTTGCTAGGAGAGGGAGTTAGCCATTCATATCTTCAAGACACCCAGGATCCCAGGCAGGAAGTATCTAATAGTACTCCCAACCAGCATCACTTCTACTCTTCAGTTGCAAAGGTCATGGATTCAGACCCAGGCATTAAAACTCTGCCCCCCCCCCACATACTCACTGTTCCTCTCCACCCCCACCCCTAATCTCAGTTGTGGGATCAACTAATCCTGATATTCCTGGGTGAAGGTTAAGAGAAAGATGGCAATAGAGAACAGGGAACCCTTGTTTACTGAGTGGGATGGGGATAGGACAATTGGACTGAGCTTCCGCCACTGATGGGCTAGGACAGTAAAAGTTGGGAAAAGGGTTGAACAGGGCCTTTGAGAGGAATCAATTTCCTCTCATCAACTTCTAATTCTTTCTTCATTGTCTCTAGTTTAAAGAGGGACACCAAATTAACTGGAGGTAGAGACAGGGGAAGGGAGGCAGTATCTTCTAGGTAAAGGGAGAAGGAAAAATGGAGATAAGTATGTATGTGTGGGGAGAATATATTTGTTCTCTTTCCTCTGCCCCAGCTCTGCCCTCCTCCACTCTTCTTCCTTTCTGTTCTATTCTTCCTGTCCCTCACTGTAGTTCCCAGTGTCTGATTCTATTCAAAAAGATAGTGCAAGGTTCTATCTGGTTCTCCCTAATTCTGAGGCTTCCTACCTCTGGGCATCCAATAATATGTGAATTGGGCAGATCTGGTAATGAATGATTTCACTGGACTAGGCTAATTTCCCTTCTTAAGAAGCAGCCTCCCCAAACTCTTTAGGTGTTCTTTGATCCCAAAGCTTGAATACTCCCAAACCCTAGGGCTTAGGTTCCTGAACAAATCACAGGGTAAGTGTGTTTGGAGGACCAGGCAACCTCCTCCTGGGAAAAGGTTTCAGGAAACAATATAGAAAAGCTGAATCTCAATAAAGTTTAGGATGTGTTAGAAGAGAAAAAAAGAAAGGGACAGAATGTCATTCATTTCCTGTTGAGAAGTATCTTATGATTTTTTAGGGTGTACCTAGAGAACAAGGAAAGCTAAAGTCCCCTTACTCAGGCAGTTTCAATATACTGAGATATGCTTTTGAGAATTTTAGGGAGTGCTATGGTTAAGCACCAAATCTGGGGATATGCCATGAAGGCAATGCAAAGAACAAGGGAGGGGACTCACCCTTTGATACATTAGACATAGGCAGCATTCCAATAATTTTGGGAAATCTTGCAGAAAAGTTCTGATCATAAAAGCTCAGGACAATCTGAACCACAGACTGAGACTTAGGAGGGGTATTCAACTCCAAGAAAATACCCAAGCTCAAGTTCCATACACCAAAAATCTTGAGGTAAGTAAATGGAAAAACGTGGGTAACATCTCTCAAATCATCTTAAGAATATTCTTTCCAAAACTGAATTATTAATCTTAACTATCCCTAAAAGGAACTGGGTTTGATAATACTCCTCTCTGGTGAATATATTTGGGGTACAGTTAGATAACATGAGAGAACAGAAAAAGGGACGAAGCTTCATAGGACATTAAGATTTAATTCATCTCTGTTCATCATTAGGTGCTCCCAAAACAAAAGATCTTAGTCTTAAATCTTATAAATTGGGTATGAGAACTATATTCCAAAGATACCTTCTAATACTATGAGGAGCAAGTGATGGGGGGGAAGGGGTTAGAAACTTTTATCTCTGCAGTCCTCATCTCAACGCCAAGGAATAGAACAGCCTGAGGGAAAGAAGCCTCTAGGACTGGGGAATATTCTGCCCTTCAAAACGTCAACACTGAAGATAAATGGAGAATGGAGGTTGGTGACAACATTCAGTACCCTGAGAATCTGAGGATATAGGAGACTAAGAAATGTGGGGGGGGGGACAGGAAGAAAAAAACATCTGTTCATCTGAGATGAAGGGAAGAGAAAGAGGAAGCCCATTCCTGAAGCCTCAGTGAAGTGCAGTGAATATGGGACTAGGATGGAAGCTTTTGTGCTCCCAATATCAGGAAACAGTTTGAAAAATGGACATTGCTCTCATTCCTCTGAAACTCACCCTTACCAAGAAGGCAGAGAGTGCTGGCTTGAATCCCCAAATTATTGGAAAACAGGGGCAACAAAAGTGGGAGAAAGGACCCTGTTGCTCTTTTCTCTTTGAGACCCTTCACCCCTGAGGCCCTGCATATGAATCTGGGGCTATGGTTTGCACCCAAAAAATACAGATGCCAAGGAAGTAAAACAGAATGGGGGAGGGCAACTGCTTCAATCCCACTGGGGTTCACCATCTCTGAGGCCCAGGACAGATGAAAGAAGCTGGGGCAGATGTTTACACCCCCCTCCCCCATATTAGGCTCTAGATAAAACTGAAGAGAAAGTGAGAAGGGGGCTCTGTTGCTCACATCCCTTGGGACCCTCCTCCCCAGCCCCCAAGGCATGAAAGGGAAGTAAATGAGGGCAGAATCCCCAAGGAATCTCCACCCTCGGGACCCTATGCCCAGTAGAGGGGAAGGGATGCTCTTGAAGCCTGTACCCCGAGATTCGGTGGGGGTCGTGAAAATGGGGAGGGGGGCCGGGAGCCCATACCCCATCGCACGTACCACGCAGAGACACATGGAGGCGAATCTGTTCCGAGCCGACATGGAGGAGGGGAGGGGGATAGTGGGGGAAGGGAGAGTGGAATATTAGGGGGTCCCAGGGTAGGGGGAGGGGCGGGGGCTGCGGCGCCGGCAACTGGAGGCTGCGGCCGGAGAGGAGGGGGGTGAGCAGCGCCTGCGCAGTGCGGGAGAGCGTCATGGGGGGGGAGGGAGAGGAGTGAGAAGAGACCCCCCCCGGAGCCAAACGCTCCCCTCCCGCCCGCCGGTTGCGGGTTCCCTAGGCTGCCTCTTCCGCTGGGCGCCCCCATTCAACTCCGCCCCAAGTCCATACATCCTCAAAACTTGCCCCCGCAGTCCCTCTCTGGCCCGCTCCTTCCCCCCCCCTTCCCCAAGCAGTCTCCAGAAACCTCCCTCCCGCGCACAGCTGGTCCACGGGTCCCGAACCAACCCCTCCGCCGCTCCGCCTCACAGCTGAACCCCTAGTCCCACCACCCACTAGTTCCCCCCTGCCCAAAATAAGTTTTTCTGCCCAGGGAAACCTCAAATTGAGAGTGACCTCCAAACTGCCGAGAGGCGGCGTCAGTGGATGGCCAGCCCTGGCATATAAAGCTGTGTGACCCTGGGTAAGTCAGATCTCCTAGTGCCCTGGGCTACGGCCTCAAATTTACAATAGCGGAGCAGGTGCAGGGCCTGCAGGAGGGGTAGGGGTGTCTCGTTCAGAAGTACCCTACATCAATAAAATGTACCTCTTTCAGAAATTCCCTACATCAGTGAAATCACAGGTCCAGTAGCAACTCCTAATCCTTCCACGCTTAGCTTCCCTCAAAAAACTCCAGGTTTCTCGAGCCGTCCATGCCCATCGAAACCCCATCAAATTTCCCTCAGCTTTCTTAGAACCTGTCTTCCTTCCCCAATATATCACAAAATTAGAATCACTTATAGTATAAGACCCATATAAATTACATTTTAATTTAATCAAGAGCCCTTTGTAAATCCCAAGTTAAGGTCCCCCAGGTGTTTGGGGTTTTCTATCTGAATTCTCTGAAATGTCCCATTTCCAACTTTCTAATACAAATCAGCTACTTTAACTCAGGGAACAAAGCAACCTATCATTAACTGCCTTAAAGACACTTAACTCTTCTCTAATATAGGGGTACTTCTTTACAACTGGAATCCAGTTGCCCCTCCCCCATGACTCCCTCAAAACTGAATTTCAGAGACATCTCCATACCCCCTTATACAATTCCCCTCCATATGTGGGGTAGGGTGGGAAAAGAAGGTGATGTTATATTTGCTTCTTATTAGTTTCAACACTTTCCCATGATCTAGTTCCCTGAAAGGAAACATCCTTAAAATCCTCTACCTCCTCAAAAGTTAAGTAACAAAAGCTACTGACCACATGCTCTCAAATTCCACAGAGAGACCACCACCTTAAGTGAATGCCTAAAATGGATTGTTGTCATTTCTCCAGACCTTTCTAAATTGCCAAAATTGTCATCAGATTCCAAGGGAGTTGTTCAAAACAATTCCCATTGAACCCCCAGATTTTCCAGGTCCCCCAAATTCAATTACCTTAAATTTGCTTTCTGGTTTTAAAAAAATTGCTTTCTGGTACCTCTAGAATGTTTCAGAGCAGAGGCATCTGTCAAAATCTAGTGCGGCCATATCAATTTTTTACTCACCACCATCTATATAGTTATCCACACACCCCAAAATGACACCCAGGGCTCACACTATTCCTTAAGCTTCATATATTGATCATATATGGATGACTTTTTAAATCTAATAGATGCCCTTAAACTTCACTGATGCCCCAAAACCCAACTCAGGAAAAATATGACACAGGAAAGGACACCCTAAAAGGACAGGGTCCTCTCCTGGATTTCTGGGGTCCTGCTCTATTCTGGACCTCCCCAAATAACCTTTCCTCACCCACCTTAAAAAATAAGCCACTAAATTCAAGGGAATATTCTGGCTCCCAGCTATTCTGCCCAAGACATACTATGCCCAGCCATCTTCCCTATCTCTCACCCCGCTTGTTCAGCTTCCCTGGTGGACCAAAGTATCAACCCTGGTCCCAATTTCCTTCCTTCCCTGAAAGAGAAAAGCTTTTGAATAAGAGAAGGCATGAATCCCTAAAGGGGATGGCTGCTGGGGGAATCGGGATCTTTGGGCCCAAGATCTGGGGATGAAAGGGGCAGTGGGGAGAATGGTACAAACTTCCTAGTTCTCCAGCAGGGGGCGACATTCTTTTCAGCCTCCCACCCCACCCCCATTTCCTTTTTTCCCTCCATTTTCCGTTTCCTGTTGCCTAGCAACACAGCAATCAAGGACTTTGCCATTGCCTTGACAACCGTCTCCCAGGGACACGAAATAGGTGGGAGGGGTGTCTGATTCGATCTGAACAGACCTCCATCTTAGGTAGCCCAGGCGTGAGGACTCCCACTGCCAGATTCCCTCTCCCAAGACCCTACTGCCCTCAGCGGCTCTGGAGCCCACCGCCTCCAAGCTTCTCTAATTCGGGCCCAGCCACGCCTTCTTCTAGGCCAACCCCGCCCCTTAGGCCGGTAACTCGGCCTCAATGCCCCGCCCACCACCTCCATGAGGCCACGCCTCCCTCCCCATTCGCTCCCACGGCCTCACCCCCATTGTCCCCGGTTCCAACCCGCCCCGCCCATCTCGGCCAATAAGCATGGGCTGGTGGCCGGTCCGACTCCGCCCCCGGCGTCCCCGAGTTGCCCAATTAGGACCGCCTGGAGGCTTTAACTGCTTCGCGTCCGGGTCTCAGGCCAAAGTCAACCGCCCCCTCCCCCACGGCCCCGCCCCCGTGCTCGCACCCCCAACCTCCGTGGGCCCCGCCCGCCAGCCTGCCAAGCCGCTTTAGTCGTCGCCGGTTACCATGGCAACGGCGCCAGCGCAGGGAAATAGGAGGTGGAAATAGGAGGTGGAAGGGGGAGGCAAGTAGGTTGGGGGCGGGGGCGGGAGAGACAGACAGACAGACAGACAAGGAGATAGAAACAAGAGATGGAAACCGACGTCAGGGTAAATAGATTACGGGAGAGGGCCAGAGGTAAAGGCCTCAACGGGGCGAGGAACAAGTGCACGCAATACCCGCCGAGGAGTGCTGGGACATAGCGTCCTCTGCTGGCCTCTCCCGTTCTACCCCGAGCCGGCGGACTGGGCAGGACTACGACTCCCAACAGGTCCCAGGGCAACACTTCCAGTGTACTTAGGGGCCTTCTACCCTAGGGACTCATGGGAGTTGGAGTCCCACCTTCACCAGCGCTGAAAAGTTTTCAAGGCAAAGAAAAATCTAGTTTTCCCCCGAGCCACCAATGTGTCAAGTCTTCCTTCCTCCTCGCTGTAGAGACCCTATGGCGCCAGGATCCTTAGCTTTTGGCTCAGTTCTAGATCAGAATAAGGGGAGGCTGTTTCTGTGGACTTAGTGAACATCTTACAAGCCTAGATTTCTTCCTCTTTATCCTCACATGTCTATTTTCACATGTCCCCAGAAAGGTTTGTACCCAGTACCTCAGTATGGATCTTTCCTTTTGCATATATCTATACAAAACATCACTGGGGAGGCATGGGGGAGAGGAAGTGGAGGGGGGAAGAAGAGAAGGAAGCATGTCCTCAAGTGTCCCTTATTTGCTCAGGCCTTTCCTTCCTGTCTCCCCAACGTGTTGGCCTTGGGGAAGGGCAGGGGGAGGAAAGGGGGAAGACTGAGAGACACAGAAGGGAAAATACTGACAGGACACATGAAAACAAGATGAGGGGAAGTGGGGAGGGGGGCATGAAGGACATAAAACATGGGTCAGAGAAAAACAGAGGCAGAAAGGCAGAAAAAAGGGGGGGGCAGAAACAGGGAGACAATGAATTAGGGATAAAAGCCCCAGGGAAAGGCCCAAAAAATGTGTGTGGAAAAAGGCAAAGGTGTGAGGTGGGATAGCAGATGCTAAGACTAAAAAGGCATCCAGGCTTGGTTTCCATGAATCCTGTCTCTAAGTCCTTCCCATAGCCTCTGTCTTCCTAAGGCCCAACTCTATGCCAACGTGTGCACATGAACATCCATGTGCATGGCGGGATATGTGAGTAGCCTTCCCCCTAGATGCTGTAGCTCCCACTAAATATAACCCCTTCCCCATCCTATGACTCACCCAGACCCTGCTTCCCCCAGCCACCACTTCCTGTCCCTCCTATTCTTCTCCACCCTCCCAGCCTGCCACCTGCCTAACCCTCTACAGAGGCATCTAACCCCCAAATCTCAGATTCTCCCATAAGGGAGCCCCGTGTCCTTCCCCCCCCACGACCACCCAGGCCCTTCTGCCTTTCAGAGACTAGCCCCTCCACATTCAGCTTTTTCCCTGACTCCCCCAATTTCCCCTACCGCCCCCAGTCCCCTTCTATTCTTCTACTCCCCCTCATTCTGCCTACCTTCACTTTGTCTCCATCCCAAGCCCCATGCAACTCCTTAAGGCCTAGATCCTTTCCTTGGTCTGGGGGTCACCCTCCAAATCCAGGGTGTCCTTCACATCCCTCCCCCTAAAGAGCCTGGTTGAGCAGGGCTGGAGTTTGTCTTTCCATCTGCTTTTCTCTCCTTCCCTCTCTCCTGCTGGGGACAGGAGTGAGAGCTAGAGCAAAGTGAATGGGCAAAGGCAAAGGAAGAAGAATGAACACCTGCTTGGGGGTCTCCCAAATTCACCACCCACATGACACCCCAAATCAGCCAATTCCTGTAAGCCCATCTCAGATTCTTAGATTTTCTCTTGCCCTAGAGTAGGGGATCCCCAATGATATAGCACCCCAAATCTTAACCTCATCTCAACTGGTTCTTTAAAATGGTTTCCTGACTCAGGCCTTGACCCACTGAACCTCTACTACTCCCAGTCACCCTCATACTTGGTGAGCCCCCAAAATAAGTGTGGTCCCTAAACTGTAATTATATTCCTCCAGTGGGGTTTAGGCAATTCCCTCAATCTCAAGGCCTTTAATTCTGCCCCCCAAATATGGTCCCTAAAATCAAGCCTGCCCTCTTCCACCAGTGAAGACCCCTCCACCTCTAAAACATAAGAACTTCTTTCCCAGTATGAGCCAGGCTTCCCCCAAGACAAGCATCCCCACATCCCCCACAAATTCCAAACTGCCAGGCTCCCCCAAAGCCATAGAAACCCCCTCCCACATTTGTGCTCCATATAGACACTTGGGGAATCACTCCAGGGTGCCCCATGGCTGCCTCTAGTCTTCCCTGCATTATCTATGTCCCTGTGTTTCCCCAATCTGGGGAGACAAATCCTAAGCACCCCACTTCTACTGAGCTTTCCCTAATGGACCCTAGGCTGCAGATAAGGCCTACCTAGTATCTCTCTACAAACTCTGTTCCCTCTAGATATCAGCCTTTTGACACCCCTTTCTCCACTCCCCCCCAATATCCTGCTTACCTTGGTTGTCACGATACAGAGACAGTCCATGTTTGGGGGGCTGGACGCTGTGGCGTGTGGGGGGCTCTGACTTCATTAGGGTCTCATTCCCCCCCTCAGCCAGGTCCCCCCTCCCCCCTCCGTACCCCACTTTTTTGGGGGGCGGGTGGGGGGAGGGGTGAGGAGGGGAGGGAGGGGGAGGGAGAAGAGGAAGAGAGGGGAAGCGTGGGAGGGAGGGGAAGAGGGGCCCCAAAAGGTGGTCCCCCGAATAGAAGACAGAGAGCTTGGGGGGTGCCCACCCCAATCTCAGGAAGGGTGGGGGCGCAAGGGGCTTGAAGCCCCAGGGGCCGGAGGCTGAGACATGAGCTGGGATAGGAGGGGGAGGGGGAGAAGGGGTGGGAGAAGCTGGGATGGGGGGGGTCTTGAGAGAGGGGCTGGGGAGGGTCTCTCCTGGCAGCTGGGAAAGGGGGAATGGGGAGGGGGGTTGGAGGCGGCAGCCACGGCCAAGGGAGCAAGGAGCTGAGAAGGGAAGGCGAGAGAGGAGAGAGGAAGAGGGGGGAGGAAGGGAGGGAGCAAGGGATGGGGGGGGAGCAAGGGAGGTTAACTCCTTCAGTGCTTGGGGGAGCCCGGATACACGGGGATGAGGATGGAGATGAAGGCGGAGATGAAGACAGAGTCACAGACACACACATACAGATGAGGACAAAGAGAGAAAGATACACCGTCACAGCCAGAAAAACAGACACAATCAGAGAGTCACCAAGACACAACGAGAGAGGCATAGAGATGTTGAGAAAAAAGAATGAAGGCAGAGGGGGAAAAAATCATGTAACTGACTGGATTTCTTGGCAGGGGCAATGGTATGGTGGGGAGCACCTGTGAGTGGGAGGGGACCCTGAAAATATTCTTGAGGCAAAGGGGTGGGGAGGAGGAGGAGAAGGAGATAAAGAGGGATTAGGAGGGAGGATTCTGAGTCCCTGGCTGCCTACATTGGGGGAACTGATGGCCTTGGCTTCCCTTTGGGGTGGTTTTTAGGAGGCAGAGATGAAATGTGACTAAGTCCAGGACTCTGTAGGGCCAGAAATATGAGAAGTAGAAAGAATAAGGGTGGGATGTAGAGAAAAGTGTAGGATGGAACACAGATATTCAGCCAATGGCACCTCTGGCTTCTACTACCTTCCAGGACACAGGGCTCTGCACTCCCACCTTAGAACTTGTTTCTTTGCCCCAGTTTAATTCCAATATTTCCTTTCCTTCTGTTGCCACACCCAATTTCCCTCAAAGACATTTTCCCTTAAGGGTAAAGGTATTTAGACCCTTACCCCAAGGCCCTTACCAGACTATCACAGACAGCAGCTTCATAGTAATCCAGGATATCTAGGAGGAACAAGTGTGAGTTGCCCAGGCATCTAGTTCTACATACTCTGGCTTTCCTTAGATACTATTCTGAATACCACCATCACTATCACCCCTTCCCCCTAATCAACCCTGCCAGGGACCCAGTGGTTTTAGCCCCTCTGGTACTCACCCAGCAGAGCCTGGAAGAGGTCACTGTGCAGCACCGCAAGGAGGTGGGGTGCCCACTGCAAGAGTGGGGGAGCCAGAAGCCAAAGGGCCGATCTAGGGACTGGAGAGATGAAGACAGGATTATTGGGGTAGAAACATAGAGAAAGACACTGAAACAGAGACAGGGTATGACCTAGGGAAATACATGCTAATGCCTTCACAATCTTAGATCCCTCTGTCCCTCTCACCATAGTCATCTATAGAGGAATCCCATGTTCCAAGCTTCTAGAGACCCCTAGAACTCCAAAACCTCCCCTCCAGAACCCCTGTTTCTAACCTCCTGGTTCCCTTGGCATCTCTCTCTGTCATTTTAATCTCCCTAATCCATCAGGATTTAAATTAAGCTGCCTTCTCCACCCGCCCAGATTGTTAAGTAATGTAATTACTCTTTCCCAAATCCTTAGGCATCCCAACTCACTTGTTATAAGTGCTCTTCTCAGTCTACCTAACCCCCAACCAGATATATTTGTAACAGTATGGATGTCCCACTTAATGCGGAAAAGAAGAGAGGAAGATAAAAGGTAAGGGGCCTCTCTGGAGGAGGCTGTAGCAGAAAGACCAAGGGATGACTAGCACTTTTCCTCATAGGCCTGACTCATATAGAGACTACAGCAAAAGGGATTCAGATTAGACTCAGGAAAGACATTAATTTAGGGCTAGAAGAAAGTGGGTTGCTCAGTGAAGAGTAGATATTGCTTATGGGAACTTCCTGACACTCTTTTCTCATTTCCACTTCCAATTCCCAACCATGGGAAGAGGGGGGTCCTTCTCAGTAGAAAAGATGATCTCCACAGATGAACTAAGGAGACCATAGTAGTCTCTAAGATACATGTGTTTAGAGCTTTGTAGCAGCCAAGCTGAAATGACCTGTTGGGTTCCTTTTAACCCAAAGAGTTTTAGACTGCAAGTCTCAAAGTCATGGGGACTTCCTATGTCTGAAGAGGGGCAGTGTGTGAAAAGTCGATACTTGGAGCAGGCACATGTACACACTTATAATTTTACGAATTCCCATCCTCTGTGTGTGTGTGTGTGTGTGTGTGTGTGTGTCTGTCTGTCTGTCTGGGTGTGAATGGGGTTATTTCAAGGCAAGGGACTGAAAATAAAACATATCTGACCAAGCATCTCAGACAAGATCTCTCTAAGCCTAGATTTACTTTTCTCATCTCCAAGCAACTAGGATATCCTCTCTCCATCCCTCTAATTTTAGCTTTTTTCCTTTTCTCCAGCCCCTATCCCTCCCCATTCCATCTCATCCTCTCCAGCCCTTGCAAGACACAGATCTGGGCCTTAATGGAAAGCTGAGACAAGGGGACCAAGAGGTACACCTTGAGCCCAGGGGAATGAGAAAAGGACCTAAGAACCACATATCCCAGCATGCCTTGGGTGCAATAAGCCCCACCTACCTCCCCCAGTTGTATGATGGGTTGATGAGTCAGGGGTAGGGCAGGGCAAGGGGTTGGGCAAATCTATGTAACAGGAGGAGGGGGAGGAGAAGTGGAAGGTCAGAGTCAGGAGAGGAGTTGCCTTTGGGAGGCACGGGCCAGGCAGGAGGCACCGAGCAGGAGGTTAAGATGATGGCTGCAGGAATGGTTCACAGGGTGGGGCTCCAGATGCTGAGGCAGGGGAGGGCCAGGTGAGTGATGGGAGATGGGGGGGGCGTCTGGGGAAGGTGGGGCAGGAGCAGAGCAATAGGAAGGTCTCCTCCATCCAACATTCTGGTCCCTAATCCTGAGGAGCTTCGGGGGAGGGGAATGAAGAGTTAGCATGGGACAAGGGTAGCAGCTGGGAATTTGGGGGGATAGGGTAAAGGGATCCCAAAGCTAATCGCCCTGCCCCCTTGCCCAGCCCCCAGAGCTGTTGTTCACTTTTGGGCATGAAGTCTGCTCGTAACTACACCGACAAGGCCACAGAGGTAAGCTTGGAGGGTGTGCTGGGCTAGGCTGGGCTGGGTGACAGCTTGGGGGCTCCCCCTGGCTGCCTGCTGGGATTAAACTGTTCTGAGTCACCTGTTCCTGTATGTGGCTGTGAAATTAGGGGAAAGGTCATGAGGAAGAAGTTAGGATAAAGGTTACAGAATCCACATTGCCCCCCCATCCCTTCTTAGAAACTCTCCCCCTTGCCTTTGGAACTCTCTAATCTTCTAGTTCTTCCTTCACAGGGACACAGATCTACAGTTAGAAGGACTGTCAGAGGCCATGGCTTCCTTATTCCCTATTCTCCACTCCCTCCCCCATTCCTGCCCCTGCAGCTCCCAGTATTTTATTCACCTTTCCCTTCTCCATAGGTGGTACAGGACAAAATGGGTTCAGTGAGGTGATAAGTACCACCTGAGTTGGGTGATGTGGGCGGAGAGGAGCTAGTAATGGGGGAATATTTCCCTTTCTTCCATTCAATTTCCTGACATTTCCCCTTCTTCCTGTCCTAGGAGTCCAAGTCATTTGCGGTAGGGATGTTTAAAGGACAGCTTACTACAGAGCAGGTGTTTCCTTACCCTTCAGGTAAACTGTTTTCCTCTGGTAGGAGGTGGGTAGAGGAAGAAGGTCAGCTTTCTTAGAGTGATGTCCAATCTGACTCTCTGACCTTTATAGTGCTGAATGAGGAGCAGATGCAGTTCCTGAAAGAGCTGGTGGGGCCTGTGTCTCGATTCTTTGAGGTGAGGGCTGTGGATGCGGGTGGCTAGATGGTGGTTAGTTCAGTTGAGGGGAGGGTGGTTGCCACCATGTTTTTATAAGTGATTTACACAAAGGCAGAGATGACATGCTTACCAAATTTGTGGATAAGCTGAATCAGGGAGATACAGCTAACATATTGAATAACAGAATGAGGATCCAAAAAGTTCTCAATAGGCTGGAAAGAAGGACTAAGTCTAGGATGAATGTGATAGAGAAAAATTGTTATATCCCATAGTTGTGTTCAAAGACTCAGCTTCGTGAGGGTAGGATGAAGGAACCATGGCTAGAAACAGTTTGTATGAAAATGATCTGAGGGCTTTCGTCCACTGAAAGTTCAGTACTAGTTACCAGGGGAATATGGTGGCCAGAATCAAATCTGATCATAAGACAGAGTAGGAAACATAACTTCGAGAACCAGGGAACCCCTGCTGTGCTCTACCCTGATTCAGCCCATATTTGGAATTTAGTGTTTAGTTTTAGATGCTGTGTATTAAGAAGGACATTGACAAGGTAGAGTACAACCAGAAGATGGTGAATGGGGGGTTAAGAGGACAGGAAACCATGTCATATAAATGTAGTTGAAGGAAAAAGGGATGGTTAGCTGCCAGAAGAGATTTCTTTATGGGGCAGAGGGACACATAATGGCTGTCTTCAATTTGTCATTATGCTAAACTTGACCACCACCAACAAACATAAACATCTCCATATATAAGGAACAGAAAAAGAGGATTTATACACGAAACTGCAAATTATTACATGTAGCTTGTTTTTGTAAGTCTGTAGAAAATTCAGCATGTTGTGTATATCAAGGGGATTGTTGAGGGGATTCTGGTATACAAGTCTGGGTTGGCCTACATGGCTTCTGAGGCCTTCTTGAATGTTTAAGATTTTGTGAAGTTGTGGTTTTCCCTCTTATGTATAGGAGGTGAATGATCCTGCCAAGAATGACAGCCTAGAAAAGGTGGAGGACTCCACCATGCAGGGGCTAAAGGAATTGGGAGCCTTTGGGCTCCAAGTGCCCTCTGAGCTAGGTGGTGTAGGACTTTGTAATACCCAGGTAAGATTTTCTACCCTATCCCTAACTCAACTTTAAGTCAGAGCTTCTCATTCTCTAATATCTCCATATCTCTACATTACTTTCCATATCTCTATGACTTCTTATCTCCTGTGCCTCTAAAGACTGCCATACAGTCTTACAGACAGCTTTTCTGTCCATATGCCTTCTTTATTTCCTAAGGGAAGACTCTCTTTGGGAAGGAGCTTTGTGAGGCCTGAGCCTCTTTTACTCCTGAGACTAGATGCTGAGAGAGGCTAGTTAATAGGGAGCATGATCCCTGGAAATGGTCCACTAATGCTCATGACCAGAGGGAAGAGATGCCTCCCATAGCTGCCCTTCCATCTGCTCTCTTCAGTACCCTAAACTTATCTTCTTTTTCCTAAGCTCCTTCTTAGCCCGGAATCTCAGTCTTTTCTCTGTTCTAGCTAAGATCATAGGATCATAGGTTTTGAGCTGGGAAGGACTTAAGGTCCCTTTTCCCAACCCTTTCCAGGTGTCTATAGGCCTGTAGATCCAGACTGAGATTTTTCTTAGAAGCCTCATCTCTCTCCTCCTTCTGGCCCTTCCAACTAGCTTTAAGCATACTTTCACAAGTATGGGCCAAATCAGATTCATCTTTTTTTTTTAAAGCAATTGGGGTTAAGTGACTTGCCTAGGGTCACACAGCTAGTAAGTATCAAGTGTTTGGTCTGAGGTCGGATTTGAACTCTTTGAGGTCCTCTTGACTTCAGGGCCAGTGCTCTATCCACTGCACCATTTAGCTGCCCCTAGATTCATCTTCTACCTACCCCCTGTGGCCTGGCTGCTCTGAGTTGTGGGGACAAGATACATAATCTTTGGTTGCCAGCCTCAACCAAACCTAAGCAAAAGCCTCGTCACGTTCCTTCCAGTATGCCCGCCTCGTGGAGATTGTAGGGATGCATGACCTTGCTGTGGCCATCGTTCTGGGGGCCCACCAGTCCATCGGTTTCAAAGGTATTCTGCTCTTTGGCACTGATGCCCAGAAGAAGAAATATCTCCCTAAACTCGCATCTGGTAGGTGAAGCCAACAGAAGGGTTCAAAATTTGTTCAGCTGGAATCAGTTTTAATATTAATAGCCTTGCCTAGAGCTAGCTACCGCAAATAGCCAGGGACTCATCTTTGGGTTGGAGGAGGGGGTCAGTGAGATTTGAAGGGGTCAAAGATTGGATATGACTGGAGGAAGAGCTCTAGGTAGGAAAAAGAGGGCACATAGGACTGTTGGCAGTTTGGCGGTAATGCTAAAACCATTGGTGACTGTGAGGATGAACTAAGGTGACTATGGAAGGATGAGGCGCTCAATAAGGGAGTTATTAGAGGTCAGGGCTGGGGACTAAGGGCATATTGGGATTTGGGATTTTGGGATAAGGGGTTTGGAGTGGGGTTGCATGGTCCTCTTTCCATAATGACCTCTCTCCTCCTCTCCTGACAGGAGAGAACTTGGCAGCTTTTTGTCTAACAGAACCCTCGAGTGGATCTGATGCAGCTTCCATTCGAACTACAGCTGTGCCCAGCTCCTGTGGAAAGTACTATACCCTAAATGGTAGCAAGCTCTGGATCAGGTGATTAACCCCATCTTCTTTGGCTGGGCCCCATATCTCTATTCTCCCCCATTTTATGCTGTGCCTGGCTCCCCTCTTCCCTTTGAGCATCTCTCTCCTCTCTACTTCATTTTTTCCTCTACTCTGATCCTATACCTCTCCACCCTTCCACAGTAATGGGGGTCTGGCAGAGATCTTTACAGTATTTGCCAAGACACCATTGAAGGATGCATCCAGTGGGGCAGTGAAGGAAAAGATCACAGCTTTCGTGGTAGAAAGGAGCTTTGGAGGAGTCACTAAGTGAGTGTTTGGGGGTGAGGGGTGAGAGGCAGCGGAAAGGGTTGGGAAAATAAAACCTAATGGGACCTGGGGACCCAGGACCAGTTTATCCTTTCAAGCATGCTGGAAGATGTAGGTTCAGCACAATATTAAGTCACCAGGGTAAGTAGGCTGGAGCTGTCCCCTCAACATACTAAGAACCAATACTGTCTTAGTTGCTTACCCAGCCCCATCACCAATCTCACTGTGGGAGTTACAGAGTTGAGTCCCTTGTCCCCACAAGATGGTCCCCTACTTTTTCTACTCTGTCACTTCCCATTTTCCCATTCCATACCCATGTAGTGGGCCTGGTGAGAAGAAGATGGGAATCAAGGCTTCCAACACAGCGGAAGTGTATTTTGATGGCGTGCAGGTGCCTACAGAGAATGTGCTGGGGGAAGTTGGAGGTGGCTTCAAAGTTGCAATGCATATCCTCAACAATGGAAGGTTTGGCATGGCTGCTGCCCTTGCTGGCACCATGAAGGGCATCATTGCCAAAGCAGTAAGTCCCCTGGCATGCATGATCTGCCAGTTTGGCCAAGTTTTTCTGTCCCTCCAAGTCTGTCAAAATGTCACTTTTAGCTCTTATTTGATAGTCCTATCCTTTATCAGTGCTCTACTCCCAATTCTGCCCGGCCTACCATGAGCCAGGCAGGGAGCTAAGCACTTTTACAAATATCATCCCATTTGATCCTTACAAGAACCC